GAACAGTAAGCTTGGTACAAAATTCTGCCATCACTTTTAGACACAATCCTAACGGGCCCAGTCAGCTTCCCCAGGAAGATGGGGACATGTTTAATGTCTGAAGTAGAGACTGTGGATGTCCAAGGACTCTGAGGTCTCCTTTGATTTCTACACTTGCAGCACCTTCACATTTTCCCTAGAAGGGTGTTCAGTGTGACTGTGGGTGAACACTGAGAAGTAAAGCCTTGCACATTTTAAGCAAAAGCTCTTGCTCACCTAATCCTAGAATGGTTTGGGCTGCAAGGGACCTTAAAGTTCATGTCATTCCAACTCTCCTGCCAAGGGCAGGGACACCTTCTACAACACCAGGCTGCTCAGAGCTCCAGCCAGCCTGGTCTTGAACACTGTCAGGGATTCACAACTTCGGGCAACCTGTCCCAGGACCACCCTTATATACACAATTTCTTCCTAACATCTAATATAAACCTATAACTTTATATATAAAGCTATAGGTATATACAAAAACCCTATAAGTTTATATATAAAGGTATAGGTTTAAATATAAACCTCTAGCTTAAAGCCATCCCCTTTTTATCCTATTTGTCCTTGTGGAAGGTCTCTATCCCCTTTAGGTACTGGAAGGTTTTCAAAGGTTTTCCTGGAGCTTTCTCTTCTCCAAGCTGTTTTCATAGCAGAGGTGTTCCAGCCCTCTGATCCAATTGGTGCCCTCTTCTGGACTCATTCCTGTGGGTTCACATCTTCTTTCTGCTGAGGAGCCCAGAGGTGGATGCAGCAGTGCAGGTGGGGTCTCAGAGGAGTGGAGTAGAGGGGCAGAATCACCTCCCTCGACTGACTGGTCCCTCTGATTTGGGTTCAGCCCAGGACACCAATGAACATACCCACAATATTAATCCATCAGTGCCACAACAATGACTCCTTCTAGAAGCAGCTGCCTGCCAGCTTACCACACATTCTCCTACCACCACGATATCACCATCTTTTCACTATCAGAAATACGGGTTAGGATATATCTTGTTATAGAGTGTTTCTAAAGCAGGAGGATTTTTTAGATGAAATGTAGTTTGGTTCACTTGTGGATTTGTTTGCTTTCCAAACTGCTGAGCAATGCAGTCCTCTTTGCATCATGTTTTGTTTTCCATGGGTACAATGTATCTCCCTTCAAATTAACTTTTCATATTAGGCACTACTCTAATCCTGAAAGGCAAGGAATGCACATCCAAACACCTGTTTCCATTGCAAACAGAAAGAAGCCACAAAGTCCTGTGGTCCTCCCTTATGGGCTTTAATTGTATTACTTCACGTAATAGGAGCACTATTTCAATTTTGTCATTATGTTCATGCATACAGGTGCAAGATTGCCAGGAAAAGCTAAATATATCTTCCAGCAGGGTGTCACTGTCGTTTATACAGAAGCAATTTGCTTCTCCAGCACGCAGAGGATTGAAATCAGCCTGACTTACAACAAGCTGGGTTAAGCACAGAGCAAGCACTACCTCCTGACGTTCCCTTGCTGCTGCTGCCAGCGTCTCGCGACACCACGCATCAAACCCTTCTCTGTGGCAGCCTCCTCCAATTCCCTGTCAAACAAGTTTAGAGAGGGAATTGCTGCTGCAGAGTTTCAGCATTCAGCAAAGGCCTGCTCACACAAGCCGCACATCTGATCAAGGCAGCACCACCTCCCTGGCAGACCTCCCCGCTCCCACCATCGCTCTCCTGGCGTCCTGCCCCAGATTTGGGGGGGTTTGCTCTCAAACACTTGCTCACAAAAAAATACCTCACAGATCCAGGTTAGGGCACCGTTAGAAAACAAGCGAAATCAATGGGGATGATAACAAATAGGTGTGATAACCACTTAACCTGTCCCTGCCACAGCAGCTCAGCTGTGTGCTGGCGGTGCCCAGGCTGTGTGCGCAGCTCCTGAGCCAGCCTGCATTGGGTTACAGAGCAGCTCTTTTGGTTACAACCCCGCTCCCTGCTTGTCTGTCTGAGGCTCCTGCTCTCCTGGTTGACAAACAGCAAAGGGAAATAGAGCAATTGCGTAACACCTTTCTTTTTTTTTAACCTGAGACAGAAAATGCTTTTATTGGGGACACTGTGGCTGGTGAAAAACAGCCCTTTCTGGTTTTTTTGGGCTGGAGGAAGATACAGTTTCTACCAGGCCACATCTACTGCCCTACATTTTCTGCCTTATCGCTGCTTTTCTGTGTGCTCCTTCAGGGATGCAGGACAGAACTCTTTTCCTTGGGTGAAGCATCACCTCTATAAAACTGAAATGGGGAATTGCTCATTGATCCCAACATCCCCCGCCGTTAGAGCTTGCCTCAAGCATGGTTCAGTACATTTACATTTGCCACTGGTCCCAGTATCTCACAGTCCTCCAGAAGGTACCACTTTTCTGTTCTTTCCTGCCTTAAAACAGGCAGAGTAAGTCTCTCCTTTGCAGTGTCTCCTGGATCAGCCTTCCTGTTTACCTCCCCTTACTAATATTCTATTCTTTGCAGTCACCCTCCAGAAAAGTTTGCATCTCTTCATTATTCTTTTATAGTCTCATATTTTTCAGCTTTCAGCTTGTCTCTCCTTTGGATATTCTCTTTTTATTTTTGAACTTCTGAGGTGTATAATTTAATACTCTGGTCACATGCTTTACTATAGAGCCTTTTAAACTTTTAATTAAATTAATGGCACCCTTCCAAAACATCAAGAACTGCAATTTTTCAACCTAAATGGAAAGTCTCCAGGAAGATACCAATTAATTCTTCTGTTCCAGCTCTGAGTTTTATGTGAGTCTCTATGCAATTCTATAATATGCATTATGCAGGAAGTCACATTACTAAAAATGTTCTTTCTGAAGTTATAAATCTTCAGGTGGTGGCATGGCTTGGTTTAATGCAGTGCTCATTTTCCCTGCTATCTTATGGATCCACAGCTTCACACAATGAATCTGGGCAATGACCTTCACTTTAACAGCTGATGCAGTCAAGGAACCACATATCACAAACATCCATGTCAGCCTCAGTGAAATACTGCAAGCACTAAAACAAATCAGTAGCTACAGATTTCCATCCCAGCACATATTTGACTGATGACAGAGTACTAAACAACATCACAAACCCATTTTTTAGTCCATAAACATCTCCATTAAACATAATTTGGTAGAAACAACTTGTAAGAGGTGAAGTGTCTGGTTGTATGGACTCATGCTGGTCCATTTTAGTACATTAAGCTCTCTGTAAAAAGTATGTACTGGGCTCTTATGAACCTGAAATTCTTGTCAAATCTGTTTGCTATGGAAAAAGACCTCACTGCTGGCTCAGTCACAGCACCTGCACCTGAACTGACTGGTTTTGGAAGATGTGTGAAGAGGCTGTGTATACACATCATGGATGTGGCTGACATTTCAACTTACAGCCCAAAATATCCATCAGGGAGTACAAAGCAATTACATACTCTCATCTTGACAGAAGGGAGGGGTTGGAATTTGCTTTCCTAATCATTCAGGGCTCTGTTTGCTAAGGGTCTGAGATAACTCCCACATATTAATAATAATCCAATGGATTTACAGGAATGGATTAGGCTCAGAGAGACCAAACACCTGTAAGTGTTCCAGGCCAGACTGGACGAGATTTTAAGCAACATGGTCTAGTGGAAGATGACTCTGCCTGTGGCAGGGGGATTGGAACAAGATGATCTTTGAGGTCCCTTCCAAACCAAGCCAGTCCATGATTTTACACGGGCATAGGGGATCTCAGCCTCAGTGTGTCTAGAGGCCTTAAAACACTCTGAACATCAAAAAAATCTGAGCTCTTCACTGAGACAGAGTTTGCATGAAGTTTGCTATTAATAAGGTTGTATGTGTCACAGGTTGCAACCATGCCACTGATTTTAATGGTAAGGTTTTCACAGCCCAAGACCAACAGTCATACACAACTTCAAACATTCTGAAACCCTGCCACACAAAAGCTGTAGTAATTTTTCTATATTTTCATCAAGTTGCTTTCTGCTCTCAGTTACCCTTCTATAAAATCAGTATGAGCTTCAGTCTGAGGAAACTGACAGTAAAAACTGATTAAGTTTTTACTAGTTTAAGAAAAAAAAAAGGAAGTATTGCAGTATATAATCAGAAGACTGACAGCTTATCTCAAACCTTATTGTTTTATGGTCCATAAGCATTTCAGACCTGCCAGCCTCTGCTGAGGAACCAAACCCTGGTACCCCCCAGCTCTTCCCAAAAATGGAAAAGAAAGTCAGGATTCAGAGAGCAAAACCTGAAGCCTACAGCCTCAAGTCTAAAGTTAGGACACAGTACATTGCAGGCAGCAGGCTAAGAATAACAGAACAAACTCACGGGGAGAGAATTAACAATAAAACACAGGAACTCTGCCTCTCCCTCCACAACATTACCTAATTCTAATGTCACGAAGAAGAAAGCAGAGTGAGTGTGTGTGCAGGAGATAACAGGCTGTCACAGCACCGCTTCCACTCGGCGCCAGAAAATTAAAGTTTGATTATTCGGTAGAAGCCGAGCCGATCTGAGAGTCACACCAGTGTCCAGTTCACAGCGCAACTTACCTTCACAAAGAGCTCAATTTCAGGGTCCTTCCCTTCCCCATTAGCAGCAACAGAGTCTGTCATTTTTCACCCCCAAGGCTACCGGCTGATCTCTTGATATTAAGTGGCAAAAGGAGGTTTCAACTGCACGGCGTGTGAGTTTCCCTTCTGAACCGCTCCCACAAAGCTGTTAAAACATCACTTGTAATGATAAAGCTCGGAAGCAAGTAAACAAGTTTGCAGGCAATTAAATTAATAATTAAGAAAAGGCAGGCAGCAGAGGAGCAGTCCCTGTTACGGCAGCTCTTCAGAGCAACAAGTGCTGCTGTGCTCTGGTACAGTATCCTCATCTGTCAGAGCTGCAGCCCTCGCTGCCTGCCCAAAATAGCCCAGAGCATAAAAAAACAGAGGGTGGGGTTAAACTCATAGGGGAGGAGACAAGCTCCTGGTACCTACGGCAGGATCAGTCTCTGAACAAATAATTCTGCTCTTCCCTGTTTTCAGCGTTTCTGTGGTTCCCTCCCTCATTCTACAGCTGGGAGCACCAGGGACAGGGAAGAAGGAACTCCTGCAGCCGGGCCGGTTTCGTTGCTTTAAGCAACAGTGATGTTTTTTCTGCTTTTCTGAAGGGTGTTTGTCCTGCCTCTAGCTGTTCAAAGTCCTAATATTGTTATTGCTAAGAAAGGTAAGAGAAAAGGAGCCAGTGCACTGCTGTTGGATCAGTCAAGGAATGGGAAGAAAAGCAGAGCTTTGCCTCAGCAGCCCCCGCCATGTGTGGGGTACAGAAGCCAAAACTGAGTGCTCGGGTGAGAGAAGCACCTGTGATGTGACCACTGCTGATGGAGCTCAGGAGCAGAGGAACGGCAATGTTTGGGTCCCTTAACTATTTCTCAGCATGTCCCTCGGGGTGCTGGTTGTAGAGGGGGGACAGAAGGGCCATGATTTGCTGGGTGGAGCATGGGAGAACAGTTCCAAGGGCCTCAGCCTGCTGCTGACATGCTGCTGTCATCCCTACTCCCCTTCCTTCACCCTGCATTCCTGGCGTGACTCAGAGGGCACTGCACAGCAGCCCTGAGCATGAGGTGGCACCTATAGAAAGTCCTGACGCAGCCAAAAGGCACGAAGGGAGGGAGTGTTGGCACAGGAGGGGACAGCAGGCACAGGTGAAGGGGTCAATGGCACCTCCTCCTCATCCCCATCCCTGCCTGGAGGGACTTTGTGTCCTCCTGCCCTCAGGAAGTCTCTTCCTACACTTCTGCCCCAACCCTGTTTCGGGACTGCCAAAGCTCTGGCTCACAGGTTGTTGGCAGCTCACGCTGCCAGACATGAGCAGTTTTACTTCCCCTTCTGACACAGAGATGCCTTTTGGGGAGGGTTTTCACATGATCAAACACTCGCCTTTCCTGATAGTGCTCTTAGCTGTGTGCTTCTGTGATGACCTCCAGTTCTCTCTGTAGGCATTTGACACAGCTCCAGAGCAGTCACAGCCAACACCTCCATGGCCCTTTGGGTAAGTTCCATGGGAATTTTCCCACAACAGCTGCTTCATGTGCACTACATGAAGGACTGAAATGGTTAACAAGTAAATCTCATTATGCTGTTGCAACTGTAATTACAACATAATCATCATTATAATTACTGTAAAAGTATGCTTATGGTTTTTAGATCTAATTAGCACTCATTCAAATAACTAGAAGGTTAACTATAAGAGAATTAAGTGTTATTACTCCTTTGATTTCAAATTTTTACATGTAATTTTTGGACTAGGCACATTAATTACCAAACATTTAGAGTAGAATTTATTCCTAAGCCTACCGGCAAGTTTCCAAGGGCATGGGCTAAGTGTACTTACATGTGGCAGAAAGAATCATTGCATTGTAATTATGCATTACAGTTATAAAAGTCTGCCAAAAACTTAAGAGTAATCATCGTATCTCTGAAACGCATCCCTAAACAATGCATTATTAACTATACAGTTATAAGTTTTTGGGATTTGCAGAAAAGTTGTTTTGCTCTAGCACCTCGTGGTGACATAATTTCTCTTTAATAGGGGTTCTTGGAAACAATAGGAAATGGATCATCTTGACTGAGGTTACCTGTAGCTCCAGCCTCACTGAAAAACATTGTTTTGATATAGGCAAGTGGTTTGAACAAGTTATATCCCAGGACCATTGGCTCTGGAAGAGAAGATACTGCCAGCTATGAGCACAGTAATAAGGTAATGCTGCTAATGCTAAACCAAAGGGTAGAAATAAAATCAGCTTTCCAAACATCAGCACTTACAAGTTGTGATGTATTACAAGTTGTGACCTATTTAGATGTCTATTTTAGAATGAAAAAATATGTCCTAGAAGTGTCTAATTTTTTCCACTGAGCCCAGGGTAATGAGATAAGCATGTAAAGGTCAGACAAATCCTGCAGTAATTTTTAAGCAGAAGAGAGCTATGGCTTTAGAGCCTGATTCATGTGCCATCCCTCACTCCAGTAGTTGTGTGTGCCTTGCACTTCTGAAAGTCAAACTCTAGATGTAGCAATTTCAGTAGACACCCAACGTGTTAAGACATTCAAATCCTTCCCTCCCAATTACTGTCTGGGTTTAGTGGTGTGTTATAATTAGTAATTAGTTTGCAGATGAAGATTATTGTGCTGAGGCTCAGCAAAGCAGAAGGGAAACTTTGCAATACAAAGGAGCAAAGGTGCCCTGCAGCCATTTCCATCCTAACCCAGATACAAACTGCTGCAGGGACGGGCCAGATCCCACCTGGCTCAGGGTGTTCTGGGCAGTGCTGCCACTGGAAGCTGCCTTCCCCATCTGCTTCTACCTCACCCCCTGCCCCAGGACCTGATATGGGGTGCTCAGAGGCTACAGAAGTTGAGGAGTAAATACCACACATCTGATGTTCCAGCTGTGCTTTTAGGTATCCATGGAAAGAATAAGCCAGCCCACCTAAAAAAAAAAAAAAAAAAAAACAAAAAAAACAAAAACCTCTGCTTTACAAAAATACCCCCATGGAATCCCTAGAATAGACCAAACATAACAGACAACATAACTTGTTCATATAATGCTGATTTTTTTGAAAAAGAGATTCTGGAAGCTGAATTTAGGATAAACATTGTAGAAGGCAGTGAGTAGGAGTAAAAATATATATATCTATATATCTATATGCACTGCTTTAGGAATCTATTCATGCATTTACTGCTTTTCTGTCATATAAAACTGACTTATCACTTACATCTGGGTGGAACCTTTATGACTATAATGGTTTTTAGTGTCTACACAGCTCTTTTGTATGTTATGAAATCAGCTCTTTCTTCAGCCAAATTAAGGGTAAGATACTGATAAATAATTAGTACACTCTCATTTTACTGCAAAGAATGAGTCACTTAGTTTGGCCTATCATTTTCTCACAAGTCAGAAGTAGCAGAGGCTTTGAGTTACACACAAGAACATTAGACACTGAATTATGAACTCCTCATAAGCCAAGTCATTATAGTTTGAGGTTTATGAGATATAGAAATGAATATGAGCACATCATCCCATTAATAAAAGAAGAGGACGGCTTTAGAAAAGGAACAGCCACGTCCCTATGTAAGACTCTATTGTAGGTGAACCCTGGTGCACTATCAGCTTTCACAGGCCTGATCCAGGCTTCACTTCCAGCAAAGATTTGTCCCGAGGGGGTGAAGCAGAGGCCAAGCATCCAGAATGAAACTCTATCAGTTCTCCAGCACACTGCTACCTTACCAAGAAGGATCAGAGCACAAGGCACATCCATCCCCCAGTGCTTCCATCCAGCTCCTTCCATCAGAGCAGGTTTTGCACGTTTTGAACGACACAGACAACATTTTTCATTGTGATGAAAAGATGTAAAAGCTTGGTGCAGCTGCAGTAAATGCTGTAAATGGTATTAAGGGCTATGATTTTACCAGGGAATTATTTAACTACTTAGTTGTCTAAAAACCCCACACCTAAGCAGCAGTCAGGGTAGTTTGAATGGGTTATGGAAACATCTCTTCCAGAGACAGTTCTGAATTACTGGCAACTTCCAATTGCATTTATTGGATGCTAGTAGTTTTGATATGCAACACATGTAACAAGTTAACAACTGCAAGGAATCAATCCTGTAATTTTTATTTTCTTTTGAGTTACAATGTGTCACCATCAACTTCTTGTCTGAAATTCAGAAAAATCAAAATATTTGTCTCAGATATCTGAGGCCAGACAGCAGGTCTGTTCCCTTCCCCAAATGTATAAGACATGCAAGGACAAACAAAGCTCTTCTCATCAGCCTCATGCCAGCACTCGGTGACCAGATACTTTTCCTTGACTGTAAAGATGTACAGTACCTCAAAATGTGTTGGTTTGATGGAAAAACTGTGATTTTGTTCCTTTTTGTAAATTTTCCCACACTCAAGGTAATGGAAGAAAAGACATCAAGAGATACAAAAACAGCTATGCAGCCTGGATGTTCCAATAAATGGGATGGAAAAGCCTAAACCAGAAAACTTTGCACTCTATTAGCTGGCCAGTTTGAGGTAACACCCTCCATACCCACCCCCAGATATTATGAATCCATCACAGCCATGAGCTACAGCAACTTTCCTTTATCTTTTTATTAAAAAGCATTCTTTCAGCTCTAAAATTATCTTGCTGAAACTCTTCTGTTTAACAGAATGAATCAGTTCAGACTGGAGTTTTGCAAAGTTCTAGTCCAAAACCATGGAATTATTTTTATATATAATTATGTTTTCACATGGATAGAGCATCAAACTTTGCTGTAACATTAATAAGCATTAACACCTTCAAGAGAGAACCTGAAGAGAAAAACTGAACCTGCTGTTCAGTGTGAAGAGGGATTGCATTATGGATTATGATCTCAGTGCTCACATAAAGACAGACTTAGGTACCCATCTGTAAGGAAGTGACTTTGAAAAGGTACAAAAGCATCTCCTGATGCTGCATTCAGTACAGAGGCTTCTAGAGGGCAGTGGTTTATTTCACTATCATTCCAAAACGGACATGTCAATTAAAAACAAAAGATACTTCCAACCAGGACTGAGACTGCTCTGGAAAGTGGTATTGTAGGAGATACAATGGAGAGCATGACAGATTGTCCCAAACTGTGAGCCATATGGATAATGCAGCTGATAAAAGGAGAAATGTGGAAATCCTCAGCCCTTGCTTTTCAAAATGAATTCTCCATGCTATCAAGTGTGGTGAAGAAAAACAGCACCAGGTTATTGTCATGTACCCATTGATGTTGACTCACTACTGTCATAGAACTAAAATTACATTATTTTACTTCCAAACAGAGTAAGTAATGCCTATTCCTGTCTTACTTTACAGGAACTCATCATGCAAGTCCCTATTTAGATTATTTCTATTCACTTCTTTGTATGCTTCTTATCATAAATTAATTAAGATTTGAAGTACGAACATGCAAACTAGGATTAAATCCCCCCCCAAACAAAAGATCAGCACACAATACACTACTTTAATCCTGATTTATGAATTATTATTTACAGAAATTGTTCAAAATGGCATGTACAACTCATGCACATCTCAGGCTAGGCTTCAATTGCTCCCAGGAATTAAGGCTCAAAGAATGCACAGTTGCTGCTGATTTCACTGGACACATTTGTGTTTCACACTGTTGTTTAGCAAACAATTTGGCTGAGAGCTGAAATTACTTTCTGTGTTCTGATGCACATTATTTCTAAAAGTTGAAGCCTTCAGCAGCTCAGTTTGAAATTAGCCATGACTCAGGCTAGTCCCCATGGGTTCACACACTGGCAGCAGTACCTGCATGGCAGGTTTTGTGCATGGATCTGCACTGTGGGTTTCAAGAATCCTCTGCAGTGTAGGTACTGTTTGGCTTAAGAAAAGGGCCTCTGGATTTTTTCTCCCTGATAAACTCACACTGGATCAGTGTGAAATAGCAGGGCTCAACATCCTTACGTCCCTCTGTGGCAGCAAAGTTTAACCTCTGCAATGGTGATGCCTCTGGTCAGTGGCAGTGCTGCTAGCCTCGGTTAATGCAGTTGGCTGACCTTGAACCTCGCAGTGAACTGAAGAACCCTTCCATTCTCCTTAATAAATTGCCTTCATTCATTTTTCATCTCACCTTTTGGTACTTCTGTGATAAACTTTCCACAAAGTTTGCCAGCTCACTCGCCTTAGTGCATCACCTCAAGCTGTTATTAAATGAATGGTGGGTTCTTTGTTCTTTTTTTTCTTCTTAAGAACTTGAAAGTAAGAGTTCAACATCTTGCAGCACCTAAAGCTGACTTGGTGATACTCCATTTTAGGTTTGGTTGTTTTTTTGGTTTTTTTTTTGCTTGAGGACCCCTTTCACTGCAGAGTTAATGCAAACAACCAGGATGAATTGAAGCAAGGTGGTGAGTTAAACACAGATGTGAACTTCTCTTCTGCAAATACTCTTTTACATTAGCAGATTTTTGCTGATAACCATCACATTAACAGATTTTTGCTGGTGACCAGCAAACCCAGCTCATTAGGACTTCAAAGAACATATCCCACATCCTTAAGTGAAAGATGGTTGTGGTAATTCTTGAAAAGGTGGTTGGCTTAAGACCAAGAGTAAATTTTTAGTGAAATTCAGCACTGAGCACAGTCTAAATAACAGTGGTGCCTTGTTGAAGTCTGTCAGAACTGGGAATACTGGGCAGTCTAACTAGAAAGACATAAGGGGTTTTTTTTGCCTCTTAAGTGGAAGATTTTCCAAAAAATTTCCATCTTTTGCCAAAATCACAAATTTTCACAGAGCATGTAGCAGGTATCACTTTTATAAGAAAACTGTGGACCCTTGGCCAGTGGCTGCAATACCTGGGAGAAATCTCACCACCAAAATGTCAAAGCCCAGTTTGTCTTTGCAGTGTCACTGCTCTGACACAACTCTGATGCAATTCTGTAGAAAATGGACTTAGGTTTTCCTGTGAGGCCTACATCAGCTGGAAAAGTTCTAATGAGATATGGACCCCTTTACTCATTATTAGCAAATTCTACCCATTTCTAGCCAAGCAGCAAGTCAGAGTTGATACCAGACTAATTAATAAATATATATATAAAGGTATTTCATGATGTTGAGGGAAACTAAATTCCCCTGCAGAGGGTGGCAGCAAACCGAGACTCTCCAGTTAAGCCTTGCCTAGAGGTTCATGCAGAAAATTGACCTTCAGAAAAGAAAAGCAGAGTTCAGAAGGGTGGAGCTGTGAGTGTTGTGAGGTTTGACTCCTCTCAGCTCTGCATCTCGACTAGGTGGATGTCACTGTGAGGGAGTTTCTATCATCTCTGACTGTGCTGGGTCTCCTGACCAGAAAAAGATGACTTTAGGGTACAGAATTATCAAACCAACACACTCTGCAATTCTCTTATATGCCATGAGAGTTCTAGCAATTAAACAACAAATTAAAAGGTAATTGATAGCCCTTTTTAGAGAACTAAGTATATAGAATCAAAACTGAAAGTAAGTTAGCCAGGTCATCTATCACTTTCCCAAGATATTATAAACCTTGCACTTTATTATTGTAAACCAGAAAAAAAAAATTAAAATGCTGTAATGAAAATGAAGGGGAATCTTCACATAAAAACAAAAATTCATAGTGCAAAGCTTCATAAAATCAAAGAGGAGGACTCAGAGTCACTGGAAGTAATACATGTGGGAATAGTTTATTATTGATAGGGCTGATAGTGACACTGATTTTTAATGCTTCCTAATTCTTTTCCCATTTACACCCTGTTTTCAAGTCAAAGAAACTTTTGCCAGACTTTAGAAAGGGAACTTTTCAACACTGGTGTCTTCTTTAGTTATCCAAAGGACTTCAGACACCCAAAGATTTATCTTGCAATGCACTCAGCTGCTGAACTCACTGATTCCCCAGGCAACATCCTAAAACAAAAGCTTGAAAGTGAACAAAAATGCAAGGAAATTACCTAATTTCCCCAGAATCAACAGCAAGCTAAGAATAGACTCCTGAACTCCTCAATGTCAGCTTAGTCAAACCATTGTCAAATGAAAATACATTTGTTTTCCCAAGTGTTCAGAACTCCATTGTCATGGAGTACGCTCTCCATACAGGTGATTATGTGAATATATACACAAGTACAACATTCTTGTACACAGTATTCTACAGGACACATTTCCAAAGACATTCCACCAGCCCACCTGTCACGCTCTGCCTGGAAAATCTGCTTGGAAAATCTGGCCTTCAGTCTGTTTTGGGTTTTTTGTTTTTTGTTTTTTTTAATTAATATAAAACGTACTTGGTTCCCATCCCCATGAGTCACACAGTGCAGTCTTGACAAGTTAATTGTTAAGTGGAGTTAGGCAGCAGGGTGTTCTTTGGTCACATCCTTGCAGGGACTTGGAGAGCACGCTCTCCTGCCTGGCTGGCAGTCCAGCAGGGAATGCCAGGCTGGCGGAGCTGCCGGCCGGCCTTTTGTAGCGGGGCTATTTTTAGCTGTTATCAGCCACGGGTGTGGGGCCAATCCGCGCCTGGAGCCGCACAGAAACTCTGCCCTGGCCAAACTTCACTCACTGCAATCTCCCGGGGGGGGCAAGTGAGTGAATTTGCTGCGCTGAAGTTGGGCTGTTCTTTATACGGGCTCCTGCAAGGCGCCAGCGCTCCAAGGAAGCGCGTTAGGAGCATGAGCAAGTTACTGATTCAACAGATAAGCATCCTGCCTATATTTGGTGAAAATGAGTGAATTTGAGGTGCCTCATGAAGTCCAATAAGTGATGCAATCATTCAGTATGATGTACATATAAATCAATCTGCGGTGTTTTTATAAAGGAGGTGATTTTTATGTCACCGTGTAACTATGTACTGTGTAACTGGAAACTACTTACTGTGATTATTTACAAATCCATAACTACTTACTGTGATTATTTACAAACCCAGCTCACCAAAGAAAGGGAAGACAGATTGGTGCCTCTTCAAAACGGGCCACGTGGTATAATAGACTTTTAATACTGGGCCTTTGTCCAGCTTATTCTTTTAGTAACTTTTCATGGAAATACGACCTTGTAGTGACTTTAGGCTTTGAGAAATTATTTGAAATGGTGAGAAAAATGTGTATTAAAATGAGGAAGAATTTCTGATGACATTAAGAAAAATGAAAATATTATAAGTTTAAATTAGTTCTCCTAGTATTTCTGTTTACTGAGGACTTGCCAGTATTATTTGGGCACCTCACTGGCCATTTCTGGCTAACAGAGACCCTCTTGCAATGAGGGGCCATCCTAAGTATCAGTGTTATAGCTAAGGATTAACATATTTATATACCAAGTATAAATGTGGGCAAATAAAAAGCACTTCTGCTGGTCAGATATTTAATCAATTAGATTTTAAAATGAATCCAAAAATATTACAAATACCTGTGAGCAGAGGTCTGAAGAGTGATTAAATACCTATATTTTCAGATGCAAAGCTTCCACTCCTTCCATTTGCTTCTCAACCAGCCTTCAAATTACAGGGACACAGTGTTGAGATCTCCCAAAGCACAGCAACATAGATATTTCACCTCAAATAGAATTTGTTTACTCAATCATAGGTATCTTAAAACAGGAGGTTATTAAAAGAATCTTTTTGTTGCTTGTTTAGTTTAGCTCTAAAAGCAGAAGCAACCTGAGACAAGATGCAGCTGTGGGAAAAAAAAAAAAAAAAAAAGGTACCTTTATAGAAAGAAAATAGGTGCAGAAGAGGATTACTATGACAACTGGCAGAAATGGAGACAAAAAGGAGTGGCTGGTTTGGCACCAAAACATCTGAGGTTGTCTAAGCCTAAACTGATTTTTAAAAGAGCCAAATGCATGAATGACTACTAATGGACCATGCTGGCACAAGAACAAGGATGTTTTAGCTGCACATAAATAAAGGTAATTTGGAAATTAAAGTGTCAAACCTTTAGAGCAGTGACATTATGAAACAGATTTCCAAAATTAATAATAATAGTAATAGTTTCTAAATAGACTTTTATTTCTTTATGAATGAAGTATTGCATGGTGAGGCTGTAACAGAATACTCAATTTCATGTCCAAAAAATCACATCCAGTCCTATGAATTTCTTTTTCAGATTACCTAGAATCCCCAGAGAAACTATCTTGGTCAGTGTGCAGATTTCTGCCTTTCTGTGCCTCATCTTTTATAAATATATAAGCAGGAAGATAATCATTTTTATCTCAGAAGATGTGTTCTCGAGTTTTACTTCATTAACACCTGCATGGAGCCTGCAACAGAAAATCAATTCACTTTTAAATCAAAATCCTGGTTTCAAACACTGTTGGATGTACTGAAACCAGACCTGTACACTGACAAATTCACTTCCCAGCTATCCCTGAGCACGTCATTGGAACGTCATCAATGTCACTGATGTCTTGCATTATCAACGATGTACCAACAGTACAAGTTCTCCTACAATTGTTTCATTAATTGATATGAAAAAGATCATCTAGAGATCTAAATATAAAAATCATACCTGCAGATGACAAATAAATGACTCATTTTACAGTGACACACTTCCTCCTTTTCTTGTGCTACAGAAGGCAGTTTCATACAGGTTCATAACATTTTCCACAAAAACAGTGGTAAATATTTTTTATATTGCCACAAATACATAAAAATATTTATATGTCTCTTTTCAGCCACAAACAAAGTTACGAGAAGACATTGAATAATTCTAAATGAACTAGTAAATACAGTGGCACAGTGAAAAATTTCCATTCAAGGCAGGGTCTTATGACCCAAAGAAACAAAAAAATTTTCTTTTCCCAATTAAAATCTTAAGCTGTGTTTGAAGCAGTATCTAGGAATTCAAATTCAGTATGTTCAGTTAGCTTTTCTCTTCTACTGTGGTGTCTGAAATAAAATGTCATTTTAAAACAAATACAGCTGAAAGACACATATATGGGGGATTGCTGTTAAAAAAAAGGATAAGACTTGACTGAAGTTAAAGGAAGAGTGCTGGATTTCAGTCTTGGAAAGATGATTAAATGTATTAGATAAATTTATCTGGCTAATTTAGTCAGTAAGTGAACAGCAGAAGTGTTCAACATCACATTGTTTGATCACTATTGCAATTCAGTTGTTGCTGAGTGGGGACACTGAAACAGAAAGGGAAATTAAATAGTCTGAAAAAAGAAATTAATCAATCCAACGTTTGTTTCCAGATGTCCATTACCAGAATTCACTTCTAGTCTAATCTAGTCATCCAAGATTTGTGTTTAAACTGTCACTGGTGGTATTCAGTTTATTAAACCTCAGGTGGCCAGGCCATTGTTTTCAGTGAAAGTTTATGGCTTGATGCAGTTGCCTAAGCCTAGATATCCAGCAGCATTTGGAAGGATAGCTGAGGAAATCCATAAACATATGTGAGACAGGATCTGTGGGACACTCCAGAGGCCAGGAAAGAAGCCTTTAGACATCTAAACCAGCAGGGGATGCCCGTGGCTGGAAAACTGAATTAGGTCCCGCTCCATGCAATGAACAGAGTCGACCTGTCAAGGAACCTCCCTCTACAGGTGGTGCTTGCACTTGGCCACAGGAATTAACATCACATTATGCTAGTTCAGATATTTTTTGTTGCAAAAAGAGCCTAGACACCCTGCAGAGGTATAGTTAATGGCTTACACAAGCCCCTTCAGTGGGATGAGCCAAATCCAATCCTTGATATCTAAAGAAAACAAAGAGCAGAGCAGAAATGCTGCTTTCCTTTTGCAGACTCCAAAATAGTTGACATATTATCATCACCTGTTCCTCTGCAGGGATTATGCATTGTTTTGCAATTGTAAAATCTTAGTCTCAGTAGAGCTGCTCTTTAGGTACTTCTAAAATAACCAATTCGGAATCATACAAATTGCTCTGTTTTGGACAAGATCCATTTAACAGGTGACAATACTGCTACACAGATAAGTTTTCAAGGCCAGCAAGAAGTAATCAGTTTACAAATCCAAACATTTTTCACTCCAAAAATGTAGGTGCTGAGATGTTTCAAAAGAAAAAACCAGTCCATGCTGGGATAAGAGCCTTGTTTTCAGAACATCAAAGAGGGTATCACAAGATGAAATATATATGAGGAAAAATAAATGAGTAAATAAATCCTGTTTTAATTTTCTCTCGGTGTGACCTGCATTATTTACACTGTGTTTGCCATTGCTGCAATCACTGTGCAGGGACAATTTCCTAGGTCTGTATTTTGAAGCTGTTGCTACGCTGTTGTATCCGGACACCGCTGTGGCCAGAGCCGCGCACTGAGGGGGGCACGGGAGCGCCAGCTCAAAATGGATTCACAGATCTTTCCACAAATGCCTGAGTGAGGCACAGACTCAATAAGGGTTGGAAGCAAGACCTTTTACCCTTTGTATCCAAAAGATTAAGCAAACTGCTGTGCCCTGCTGCTGAAACACATGTTCTGCTTGTGACTGATAGTTGGGGGACTGGGTGTTATCTGTAGCAGAACGGCCGTCACTAATCTTTTCACACACACACACACATAGAGTAATTTGGCTAGGCATAAATCCAGCTGTGAAGAGACCCACAGTACGGTTTTCCTCCTCAGAAATAAGGATTATTAGCTATTAGGTTTATATGTGAAGACTTCAGAGACTACCAGTCTGCTGGGTGGAGGAGGGAGCCATAAAGCCACGCTGGGTCTGCACAGTGGTGTGGAGGTGTTAGAGGTGTATCCCTATTGTCTGAGCTAGCAGAGCAAGAGCACTGGTGAGGGTGTCCTTCACACTGGATTTATGTCAGAGCACTTCTCTGACTCCCAAACCATGCTGTTTTCAGTGAGGGGTGATCAGAGTCTCATCACACCACTAAGAGAAAGCTAAATGCTCCACAAGTCAAATGGCAGCTGCAAACTGTGCAGTGCTACTGTATTACACCTGCTTGCAAATGGGCAAGTCTGTTACTGAAGCATTTATTGGGAAAACACCAGGGCTGGAGGAAACATATAAATATTAAAGGATTCAAAAATACATTAAAATAGAGCAAATAAAGTGTTCTGACTAGAAAGTTGGATAAATGATGAATTAAAGAGGTGCTTGCTGTAGTAATTTTTATTAGCACTGCTATTTGCACTATCTGTACCGCCAAACTGGAGCCCAAGAATTATATAAATTAACTGGAGAAAGACTGGAAAAGGTCATAAATGACCCCTAAAACAAAACAAAAAAAAAACCAAACAAACAAACAAAAAAAAAAAACCACAAAAAAAACCCCAAAACAAAACAAAAAAAATCACAACACACCAAACCACTCAACCTGTAGAAGTGATCACTCAAACTTGAAGGCAAGCTGAAGGACTTGTTTAGTTCAAGAAAGCAAAGACTGAATGAAATTTGATTTGTACCTTCTCTATACATAAAGGTCTTGTCTATTAAAAAGAAAAATAGCATAATTCAGAGCCATAGAATTTTACTAAAGGAAAATATTGTCTCAGGACAATAATTAAGCATTGACAGAGACTAATTGGTGTAGGTGCTGAATGGGCATCACTGAATGTTCCCAAAGAAGCATCTGTTAGGAGAGTCTAGATAAGACTGAGAGCAGGACACATCACTTGGTATTCCAAAATTGTCTTTCTATGCTTAATTGTACTTGTAACCTATCTCAAGCTATTTGCAGGAATAAACAACCATTTCATTTTAATTATCAAAACAGGTATCACGTTAGGATATTGGCTCCCCATGAGTCATTTCCTGCTGTGTACATGTCAACTTCAGCATCTTGGTCTGTAAATCTGCCAAGACTGGAAGATTCTGAAAATAGTTCTTGGATCTTTTCCTTTCTCAGGTTGCTCAGTTAACACTATTTAAAAGGTGGATTATGAATCACTCAACCTTTTTCTAAGCTTATTATTAGGACCAAAATAATAGTTTCTTACTTCCATTAGATTTATTATTTATAATATTTTTACAGGCTAAAATGTTATAAAAAGAGACCAAAATAATAGTTGCTTACTTCCATTAGATTTATTATTTAGATTTATAATATTTTTACAGGCTAAAATGTTATAAAAAGACAAACTCCTATAATTTTGTGTACATATGGACAGTTACAGCTGACACCTGGCTTCAGTCTGAATTTACCTTTCTACCTGCAAACCTTTGTGCAGAAGTTATGGCTGAACACCAGCCTCATGTGCTGTATTGGAGTCAATCAGAAGACAAACTGGTTTCCATTGCTAGGAGGTATCTGGACACCCAGTTATGCTTATAAATATCTAACAGCCCAAATACAGCTGTTTTCCTCTGTAGATTATGAGTGTAGTAAGAAATGCTCAGTTCTGCTCAGCAAAATCAGTTTAACCACTAACTTCTGACTGGACATCCATGTGGTTCTGCTCTCTTCAAATTATACATACTTAAAGTTACATTTGTCCTGTGACTTCATATTCTGACCAATTAATACATATTCCTAAACAGAATTTTCTCAACAGATACCAGAATGCTTCATAAAACAAGAGAAAAGCAAGAAGATAAACAAGAGAAAACATTAGGAAGAAGTGTGATTTTCCCAGTGACACAATGAGTCTCACTGTCCCTGTGAGGAACATGGTCTGTCTTTCACAACAGCTCAGCTCAGCTTGGGGAGTCAGTAGGAAACTAGCACAGAGTTAGTTGTGCCACCAAGTTGGAGTCCTCCGACTTTCCTGACTTGGAAATCAGAGAACTTCAGAGTCACAGAATTGGTAAGGTTTGAAAAGACATTTAAGATCAAGTCCAACTGTCAACCAGCACCACTACCATGTTAACCATTAAACCAGGTCCTCAAGTGCCACATCCACATGTTTTTGGATGCCCAGGGATGGTGACTCCACTTCCCTGAGCAACCTGTTCCAGTACCTGACAACCCTCTCCATGAAAAAAAAAAAAAAATTCCTAATATCCAACCTAAACCTCCACTGGCACAACTGGAAGAATTTTCTCTCATCCTGTCACTCATTAAGTGGGAACAGAGACCAACCCCTACTTGGCCCCACCCTCCTTTCAGGGAGTTTGGAAAGCAAGAGCCCCCCAGCTCCCTCAGCTGCTCCTCATCAGACCTGTGCTCCAGACCCTTCCCCAGCTCTGCTCCCTTCTCTGGACATGCTCCAGCCCCTCAATTTATTTTTTGCCATGAAGGGCCCAGAAATGAGCCCAGGATTTGAGGTGTGACCTCAGCCATGCCCAGCACAGGGGACAGTCACTGCCCTGGCCCTGCTGCCACACCATGGCTGGCACAGCCCAGGTGCCTTTGGCCTTCTTGCCCACCTGGGCACAGCTGGCTCAGGTTCAGCTGCTGTCACCAGCACCCCCAGGTTCTTTTCCAGCTTTCCAACCACTCTTCTCACAGCCTGTAGCACTGCAGTTGTTGTGACCCAAGTGCAGGACTCAGCACTTCAAATGAGGGAGTGGGAAACATCTTGTTGGAAAAACAAAAATGTCCTTTATTTTCCAGCTCCCAACTTAGTGAAATTTTACAGAAGGGTACCATAATTACAAACAGAAACAGCTAAATGCATAGGTTCTGATTCTTAAATATAAGCACTGGTATCCACTAAAAGGACAGGAGGCACAAATTTAGATACACAGAATTCCATTTAAAACATTGTTTTACCATTAAGGGTAGGATATTAGAATGGTTGCACAGAGAAGTTGTGGTTTCTTCATCTTTGGAAATATTGAAAACCAAACATGACCCTGAGCAAGCTGTAGTAGGTGATCCTGCTCTGAGGAAGGAGTTGGACAAGAGATGCTCTCCAGCATCCATAACTCTTACTCCAGTGCAGTGATCCAACAGGTGCAGGCTGATGATGCTAAACCAGAGTATAACATTGGTATTTCTGCCTAACACAAGGTGTTTATTGCTTAGGGTAAAGAATTACCTTCCTCCTTTTGGGAGCCATGTTCCTATGGTACAAATGAGTACAGAGAGGCTATAATCTGCAGTCAGTCTCAGGTCATCAAAAAAAAACCAGAAAGGCAATAATTTTCTTCTGAAAAGAATATTGGAGGACTGGTGTTTAAATAACAACTTAAGGTTCAGGAAAACAAAAAAGTTAAAATTTTCAAAGAAACCCAAACCTTCAGAACAAAGATCCTGCTCAATGGGAAAATACAGTGTACAGGTGAGAGGGCTGGACCTTGGAGCTGTGATTGGGTCAGGCTGTCCTGTGCACTCAGTAACACAGCCTGTGTGCCAGTCATATTTCTGTTCAAATTGCAAAGGCTTTTGTATGAATAAATTACAGAGTTATTGAAAAGGCATTAAGGTGGCTGTGACAAGCCTGGACGTGCTGGATTCACACAAACAGATTCATGTTGTTACATGCTGCATTCTGCTGTTAAAGGCACAGGGAATTCCTTTTTTACCTTATGGCACATCCTGAAATAGCCCACTGACATGACATAGTTACCAAGCATTGATAATCAGTGAAAAATAAGTTAAAGTAATGTAAACATTTTCTTTGTTTCTAAGGAATGGACTACTGTAAACATTATCCATCCAGCTGCACTGTGAATTAGATACCATTTAATCTTCCCACTTTTTGTGGTGTTCAGTCTTCTGACACTCATGTTTCCAGTCATTCACAGAGATTTATTAGGTCCACAAGCAAAGGGAGGCATAAATAGTGGCAGAACTGTCATGATCACTATTGTCCTACAGCACCAGGTCCTGCTGTCACTGTTAGTGTGTGCAGAAAAGTGCAAACCCAGATGAACCCAATTTCAGAGCAACACTGGCCTCAGGTGGACTAGAGACCATGTGAGAAGGGAACCATCTATGAGTAATATTTATTGACACAACTGAGATATTTGTTCCATGTGCCAGAAGCCACAGACCTCAGAGATTTAACTACTCTTGTTATATATTATTCTGTGACCTTCCATTTTACAGGCTGACTTTTGCTATCTAGATAGTTAAAGAGAGCAAAGCTGGATCTGCACTCCATGGAGTTACTGCTTTATTACCTTGATACCAGAAAGATAGAAAATCAAAAAGCCAAAAACTAAGCATCATCATGTTCTCAAGGAGTAAAACAGTGTAACAGAAGTTCAGTCACCT